ATTCTTATTTGCTACTTCAAAGATATTATGTATTCAAATCATATAGGCCAGCCACTGCCATGTAGCAGAAAAACAAGTTGATTGTTAATATGAAGTGGCTACAATGTGCATTTATTTTGAAATTTTCTTTTCTAAGTACCAAGAATTGACCATATATCCAAATTCAAAATGAATCAAACTGTTAATAATCAATTAAGCCATTGACTGCCTAGAGCCTTTTCCTTACACGACAGCAAAAAAATTGCTCAATTTGATCAAGAAAAAACATAATGAAATTTCATAACCAAAAACAAAAAGTGAATTGAAAATTTCATAACCAAAAACAAAAAAATTGCTCAATTCGATTCAGATTTTATAGATTTATCAAACATATTTTCTGATTTCAAAAACTATTAACATAAAAAGGAGAAGATTCTTACCCGTTTTTGATAAATTGTAGCGGTTGAATGACAGGGAAAGCGAGAAGCTGTTCGGAGATGGCGAGCTCTCTTTGGCGGGCTAGATGGCGGCGACCGGTGAGATGCAGGCGGCGATCGGTGAGATGACGAGGAGTTGTCAATGGAGGAGGCGACGTTTTTTGTGTGAGCGCTTTTTTTAGGTCACGATGGTAACCAGGGAAGAAAGAATACAAGGGTAGGAGACGTCTTTATTCCAGTCAGCATATGTTACAAGGCTGACCGAGAAAGAAAATTGAGTCAGATATCTTACTGAGAAAGCAGACTATCAAACAGCTATGGTCTGACCGAGTCAGCCCAATTTGCTGACCCATACCCGATCAGATGGGTATCAAACAGGCCCTTAGTAACCATCTACAACCAAGACCATATACGATGTTTAAGTAAGAATCTACAAGATGCATGTTCTCAATTTTATCTTTGCAATATAGTAATGCGAGATTTAGTTAATGATATTTTTATGATACAAGATTTAGTTAATCTACAAGGTATGTATGAAAAAAATCATTTATTTTTTTGAGTATAACATCAGTTTTCTTTCACTTTCATTTCTTTTATCAAAAGACATGAAATTGTCATCTTTCATTATCTTTCGCCACATTTTATTTTTTTATTTTTTTAAAAAGGTATATTTTATATAAATATTATATTCATTTTATAGAGATTTAAAAACCATGAATTTTAATATATTTTTTTTAATAGATATACGATTTAATATATATTAAAAAAACTGACTAATCTTATGAGTACATGAATAGAAAAAATATGGGATAGACTCCCTTATTTTTTTCATGCACTCATAGCCTCGATATAATGTTATGAGGTAAGTGAAATCTTCCCTCAATTCTTTCCTCCACCTTACCCACTGATCTAAGACTATTCGGTATGGGCTTGTGGAGGGGCGTTTTTGCCTACGTGGAGGCTCCTTAATGTCGTTACCACGGCTAGAACACAGCCCCCGCTTCAAGTTATCAGATGTGGCGTTATGAAATGTGGTAACGAGAACGAAGAGCAACACCCAATCAGATTATTTCTTTCTTTTATTCTTTCTTTCTCTCTCCTCTTAACACCAAGTTATAACATGGGAACACCACCCCCACTTCATGTTATTAAAATATGAGCCGACAATATTTGACATCATAACCCGTTGCCCACACCCAATAGGCTAAAAAAATAGTTTTTCATGGGCCTAGATTTCCGTTAACATCCGGCTGTTATTATGATTTTAAAATGAAAAACATTAACTAATAAGAGTCGTTTGCACAATCAATGAGTGATCGATTTGCCGACAGCAAATATCTATCGCTAACTTGACTATTAGAAAGTGTGTTTTAAAAAAAATATATTTACCAATATTATTTTAAAAATATTTATCAAATAGATATCGTTGTAAATTTTAATATTTTTAAAAAGAGAAAGTTGTTTTTGGTTTTTGTTCTCTTTGACGTCAAAAGTAAAGAAAAAAAATATATGTTTTTTTGATTCCTTCACATCAAACGGAAGAAGAGAAAAACAAACAAAAAAGAAATTTTGGTTTGTACATTTGGACAAGAACACAAAAACAAATAAGTTTTTTTTTTTTTTTTGTTAGACTGAAAATTAATCTAGGAGGGCGTGCACCCTTCAAATAATCAAGTTAGGGACAGCCACGATTAATTAAAAAAATTATATAAATAATAAATCTGTGAGCTTCTACAATTTTTTATATTTTTATATTTTTGTTTTTATTTTTGAAATGTATTATAAAAGAACTTTATGTATATAATTATTTTAGCAATAATGTGAAAATACCGAGTAGAATAAATCTTTGCTACTTTTTTTTTTCCAGAAAATACAAACGGATAAAACGTCCATAAACTAGCCATGAAAATTCTGTCGCTATTGGTCGAATTTTATATATTTTGAAATCGAAAATCCGTTGTAAGAGTTCTATCACTATATTACGACAGATCATATCTATTAGCGACCAATGAAATTAAAAAAGCTCGTTTTGGAAGACCACGAAGATGTAAACTTGCACCTAGTGACTAACATCAGTCTAGATCTTCAAATGACAGTAAATTCATAACCATAGTGTTCCTCCCCTTGAATCAACTGGTAGTAATTTATTTTTTTACCCATTAATTAATAACCCAAAAAAACATGGTGTAGAAGCTATTATGGCTACATAATACCTTGAACCGGTTTATTGTTCTTGGCTACTTCTTCAGTAATTGCTTGAATCATCGACGTCATATTCTTGTGAGACGAACCCCCTTCCTCCATTGCTCTCTTTGACATTTCCCCAAGCTCTTTAGCTCTCTTTCTTCTTGCCTTTCCTTCTTCATCATCATTCATTAAACCTTCCACAGCTATCTTCACATCTTCCCTCTTAACCATCACTTTCAAGTTATCTCTCTCCCCAAAAGAAACAGGAACCTCCGCACCAATTCTCACTCCAATCTTCAACACGTCTGTGATAAATCGTTCATTTAGGAATTGGTCAGCAAAATGGGGCCATGTAACCATTGGAATCCCATTAGAGATCCCTTCTAGAGTCGAGTTCCACCCACAATGCGTTATGAAACCCCCGATTGCTGCATGTGAGAGTATCAAGATTTGTGGTGCCCAACCAAACACCATTAAACCTCTATCTTTGATCCTTTCTTCATATGCTTCTTCCAAGAGCCATCTCTTTAGTTCATCACTTGTCTCTCTAATGAACCAAATAAACGGTTTGTTCGATAACTCTAATCCCAATCCAAGCTCAATGACTTGTTCTGTGCAGGCATACGATAGACTCCCTAAGCAAACGTAGACTACAGAACCTGGTTCTCTTAAATCTAGCCACTTCAAGCAATCATGTTCGTTAATGGAAGCCTTGCTACCTCTTTCGGCTACATCTAGGAAACTTCTGTTACATAATGAAACCGGTCCAATACACCACACCTTTTTATCTTTTGCCTTTGCGAATTCTTCAACATACTTGGGCTCTAACTCATCGAAGCTATTCACGACAATCCCATATGCAGCTTTCCCAGCTTCTTCTATACGTTCAAACATCTCCAATCTTTCTTTTGAGTCTCTTTTTGGCCAATCAGAAGCCTGGGGTTTGGTAACTTCGATCCGGTCAGGCAAACCGGGCAGCACAAAGTACTCAGAGTCGGATTTGATTTCATCAAGTATTCTAGTATTCGCTACTATGTGTATGCATAGATACGTGTAGCATCCTGGTCCATAGAAAACAAGCCTAGGAATATTTAACCTCTTAGCCAGACCTGTCGTCCATGGTAAACCACTATCTGAGATGATGCAACTTGGAGCAGGAGTTAAACGCCGGAGCAATCTTTCAGTTGGTTCTTCTAACATGGCAATGGCGTCAAAAAACTTGAGCACTAGTGCAGTTGATGGAATCAAGTCAAAACTCTCGCACCCTTCAGGCAATCCAACTTCAGATAAAGGGAGTTGGAGTTCAAGTACTTGAATCTTGAGGTTAGCTTTGATTGCACGATCAGTGACTGATTTATAACGGTTGGCGTTAAGTGGAGTTGTGATTATAGTGACAAGAACACCGCGTTGGGCTAGCATTCGGGCAATGTCCACCATGGGTATCATATGGCCTTGGGCCATTAGAGGGAACAAGATAAAGTGAAGGTCGGAAGAAGGGGAAGCCATTGGAGTACAAGAATGTGGTTTTGGGTGGTTGTTTCTGGAACTACTTGAGGGATCTATTCACTTGGCTCAAATAACATGTGAAGTGTTGGAAGTGTTTGCCACGTGTCTTCATCTGTGTGATTTGCAAAAACCAAGACCCTTCAAGATTGACGTTATGTTCTAGATTGCAACCAGCAAATAACTTCATGTAATATTGAAAATTATATTAAAAATTGGGTATGAATACAAAGATCAGTTTGATAATCAATCATCACGGTTTTTGGATTTTTGATGGATCGTGTATCTTCAGTATTCTCCGTGATTGATATTTCGACCATATATGTTTGAGGTGTAGGAAATCCAATCATGGAAAATCCATCAAAGGCACTTTCTAATTTGGTCACGGAAAAAAAAAAAAAAAAGCAATGGTAACCTTAAGAGTGACAAAAATAAGGTATTATGAGTAATATATTCGTATTATATAAATGTGCACATTGCACCATCTAACTTATATTAAATCACAATTTGAACGTCATTAAATACTCATATTAATTCCACTTATAGTAATTATACATGTGATACTATTATCACCAACAAAGTTTGTGAAAACAAATCTAATTTCTAAGAAACCTAACCTTTAATCTATCCCAAGTTATGTTTGTGGATAGACATCGAAAACGTCTTGACTAGTTAGTATGAAAAACGGAAGTGAGTTCCAAAAACAAGTATTTTGTTGGAAAGAAAATAGGGAGATGTTGATGATCATACATTTGATAGTTGTAGGATTGTAATTGCTTTGACTGAAATCTATTTGATTCATATCTCTAGGCACAAGAAATTAAACCAAGAAATTAAACGTGTACAAGATTAGTATGTTAATTGCTCGTAATCTTAGGAATGTCAAAAATATACAACAACTGAACGAATTTTTTTGGTGCGGATGGGTTTTGCTTTTTGGTGTAGTGGTAGCCTAAAAAATCACACCATTAAAGCAATTTCACATCAATAAGCCAATAAATTGCACCATTTAAAACATTTGTTGGTGCGGTTTCCCTATAACCTCAGTAAAGGCATTAAAATAGTATTTATTGATGCTTTAGTTCAAAACCACACTCAAATAATAGACTGTACCAAAAAATCATATGGAACCACACCATTTAATCTTCCCTTTAAAAATTTCATTCAAAATTTTAATTTCATGATAGATCTTTCCAAATTTACTATCCCTCCAAAAAATTTCATCTTCTTTCTAATTTTTCATTCACATTTACGCAGAGAAACCCTAGTTACCACGGCCTCTCGTTTACCAACATTTGAAACACCATCACTAAGACCCTCATCACTGTCTTCTACCTAGTTCCTATTGTTAGTTAATCGATCGATTTTCGTTTTATCTTTGCATACCGCCTTAAGTCTTATTCTTTGGTTAAATGTAAGCAGGAACTATTTTAGCATCTTTTGAGTTCTTTGGAAACCCAACATTAATGTTAATGATCCGAAAAAGGAGGAACCATATGAAATGTTTTATTATGTCTATCGTTTAATTACGAGTTTTTTTGTGGTTAAAAATCTTATAATATGAATTGAAGTTGTGCAAGTAAAATGATAGATCCGAGTGTAGGAACGTATTCAAAGAGAAAAGAACCACCACCTATTAGTGATGTTCTTTTTCATTTGAGTCGTAAAAGGAAACCACCAATAAAACTTGAAACATATTCAAGTAGATAGCCACCTCTCCTACATTAATTCAAGGTCTAACACGACAACATCCTAATTCTTTTGAGATCCTGAAAAGCATTGTGTATGGAGGTGATTGCATGTTTAATTGGTACGGTTATAATCATTTCTTAGTATGGTTCTAAGAAATATTTTATAACACCCGTTCCCTGGATTGGATAGGTTTTGGGGAAAATTGAGTGTCACGATGTGACACATCTCTAGTCACGACGTGAAAAGGGCTACAACTCAAGCTCATGATATTTTAGGGTTTGTTTCGTATTTAAACACCATAAACTCGAATTTAGGGTTCATTTCTCAGCCTCCATCTTCCTTAAACCTCAGAAACCCTAACCATAGTTCATCTTCGTGGTTTTTGCTCATCTTGAGTGGTTTTGGTGCTCTTGGTTAAAGAAGATGGTCCATTTGGTGCATTGGGCCTTTCTTCACCACCTTGTATTGTTTCTGGACCTTGGTGAGTCCTAAAGCTCTTGCATTTATCTCTATTGCATGCTATATCTAATATTTATTCTTTTCTCTTCATGGTGGGGTTGATATCATGTATGAGATCCATAAAGTTAGCAACTTTATGGATCATTGAGGCCTTTTCTTTGGTATAAGCTTCAAATTTGAGGGTTGGTATGGGTTTTAGACTCCAAGCATGAGTCTTAGCCTTATTTTCTTCTTTTTTACCTATTTAGTGTTCAAGTCATGCATTGGACATGCATGACTGAAAAGCTACGATTTTTATGGTCCTTAGGATTGGGGAAAACCCTCTGGAAAGTCTCAAGGAGTAGCTTAAGGGATTAAGAGTTTAATGCTTAAAGTTATCCATAACTGATCTCACAACATGAGGAGTAGCATGTCACATCGTGAGATTAGGATGCTCGCGATTGTTTTGTCCGGGTTCAGTCACAACATGACCTATGGGTGGTCACGACGTGACCATTGGCTGAAGTTGACCATGATTGACTTTTTGACCATGGTTGATTTTGGGACAAGATAGGGTTTTAAGGATGTAGGATTAAAGGGTATGTCTTTACTGCTATTAGGTGCCTTATTGCTCCTGTCTATCTGGCGTGTGAGAGTTGTGGTGTTTAGTTGTTATTCGTGAGGTGAGTCATCTCACTATACTTGCCTGTATAGTAGTATACGTTGATCAGTTGGGTCTTATCTGTTGATTGTTGTTATATATGAACTGAGTTGTTGATAACTCCTGGGTTGTTGTAAGTCCATGGGACTGTTGATAGTCCCAAGGTTGTTGATAACCCGTGAGGTATGCTGTTAATCCACAAGACATGTTGTTAGCCCACTGGGACTAATGATAGTCCCCAGGGTTGCTGACAACCCATAGCTGTTATATTGTGTGTTGTATGTGATATTCGAAATTGCTGATAGTTCCAAGGTTGTAGTTGTTGGATTAGGTGTCTAAGCTCATAACTATAATTGGTATGTACTTGAATTGATAGCAGCACAGTCCTTT